TAAACTTTCTTTTATCTTTCTTGCACTTGTACTTTATGATGTTTTGTATTAATAAACTTGTGAGTTTGATTGTTAAATCATTCATGAGTAGCTAATTTTCTTTATCTAGGGAGTAGATGAAACTTATGGCTAAATAATATGAATTGAATGTGATTTACACTTGTTATATCTTGTATTAACTTGTCTACTTATGTAGCTGTGATTACTTGTTATTGATTGATCACCAATAGCATGTTTATAGTTGTTATTGTTCAATGAGAATTGGTAGTAACAATGGAAACACATGAGTAGAGCTTAAGTTGTATGCTCATGAAAATAGAGATACACTTAGGTGGATTACTTAGCATTTCATGAAAGAAAACAGAGTAGTAGTAGTATTTCACCATGAAAATAGGGAAAACTATATTGCTCTAAGCCATTTCATCATGAAAATGAGACTTGGTAATTTTGGAAATGAATCTCTGGTTAAACAAGAATAATAACAAGAGGTAAATCCATTCATTTGTGTTGTTTATGCCATAAGTGGAATCTATATCCCTAGATTCTTCCTTGAGTGAAATTTCTCCATTTGCATTTAGCATTTGTTAACTAGATTTGTATATCAGATTTGTAGACTATAGCAATATACTTTCTCTACTCAAATTTATTGTAAGTCTAAATAATAGAGAAAAATAAGGGCCTAGTACTTGTTTAATTTGCTCCTCGTGGGATCGACCCGATACATACCCTACATTACGATTTCGGCCTATATACTTGCAGTTAACGGGTATAAAAATCGGATTTAAACTTGCATTGATATAAAAATCCCGTCATGAACAATTGTTGGTATAGTCACTGGTCAAATGGATAGAGAAATCAAGAGGCTCGGCATGAGGTCAATTCTACAAGTCTACTAATCCTTCCAGATTTCCTATTTTATCTTTGCTTTGGGTACATGGGTTATAACACAACATGTAATTCCCTTTCAATCCATCTTTTAATCTAGTTAATTTTTTTACAAATGAAATACTTCCGTGTTCACTAATTTGCAGTCAATCTTTGCCCTTTTGGAAATAGGAGAATATTTTGTGCAAATTCCAATGTTTTTAAACTCGGACCAAACTGGCCTGTCTCACCGGTAGAACCTGAAACCGGCCAAGTGTCTGGTCAGATCTATATTAAAAAACCAGAGAGATAAAGGCTTGTCAAATCCGGTCAAAAACCTAGTTTGATCGAAAAATCGGCGGTTTGTGTCATAGCTTTTTTTTTGAAAGGTCAAAGCATTTTCAATATTATGTTTTGACCTCTAGGTTGTTAAAAATTAGTAATATACCTCAAATATTTCATACTTTATAAATGTTGTCCTCAAATTTGGTGTTAATTTTCAATCAAGTCCATAATTTTAATTCTAAATTTGTTAATGCTCATTGAATAATATAAATTGCTACTTGATTGTTCTAATTTCTTTGTATTTTCTTGTTAAACATATTTGAAACATCAATTATATATGAATACACCTTTATTAATATTAACATGCTTTTAAGTATTTTACATACGATATTTTAATTTTTAAATAATTTTTATTTATGACGTCATTCGGTTCAACCCCGATCGAACCTATTGACTCCTGACCCCTGAGTTCGACCAAGTCGATACCTGGTCCAAGTCTGAAAACATAGGCAAATTCATACTACGTTTCCACAATTTAGCCGGTCTTTATTTCCTAAGATGAGTCATAAGCGTCTCTTAAATTGCATCTGCGTTTAAGGCACTCAGATTAGTAGCAGGAGGAATGCCTATGAATCATTTTGTCTTTATGATTAACAAACTGCAGAATGTAATAGATAAGTGGGGGGACACCCACTCCGTCGACAAAAAAAAAAAAAAAAAAAATAGATAAGTGGGGGGACAAAACAATAAGGCTTTTGCATTTTTTTTCCTTTTCTTTAAAATCAAATAACACACCACAAAGCCCTTTATACTATAGACTCTTCAAGTCTTTAACCCTTCGATCTTATGGTATTTCTTTGATTGGCCTACTACAACTTTGGACTAACTACATAACACTTGATCGTTGGTTTTAGGATTTTTAAATTTCATTTGTTGATCGACGGTTTCCTGCAATCGCACAAAGTCGATTGTAGTAATAATTCAGTTGAAGTATTCCAGGGGTCAAACCCACAAGAACTAGTTAATTTTTCTATTTTAATTATTTTAATAAAAATGATGAAATTGAAATTCAAAGGGTTGTTAATCACTAATTGCGAAATGAAATAAATAATCAAATCAAATAAGATATACATGAGAAAATAATTGGCAAAAGACTAGGGTTTTAGATTTTGATTCAGAGTTTGAATTATTTATCCAATTATTTTTTTAACAAGCGAAGAATGTATCATTTAAAGGTACTTTACATTATCTCTCGATACGCCTAAATTGTTCATATTAAATCTCACATTTCTCACGAGATTATAAGTAAATAATGAAACCCTTTAAAATCTTAGGTGATATAATTATATCATACAAAAGCTAACCTACTCTTATGATTAGGTTAAATATGTTTATTTATCTAGTGCACGATTATCTACTTTTTTCAGTTCAATACGAAACCTAAGGACATGTTCATAATGATTAGGCAAAAATGTGTAATTAAAATAAAATAGATAAATCAAGGCAACGGTTAAGAATTTAACTATGATAAATAATCAAATTTCCTTCACAAAATCCTAACCCTTGAAACAATTCAGTTCAACATAATCATCAATAAATCCAAGAATTCAAATAAAAGATACAAATAAGAAGATAAAAGAAAATAAAACTTCTCAATTTTCCTTGCTCCAATTTCCGTCTTCCTCCTCAATTTCTCAAGAATAGAAGATATAAAAAAGATGAACTAATGCTATATTAATACTTTCTAACCATAAAAATGATCTAGAATACCCCTAGTTATAGTTTTCTAAAGTTATATCCCAAACATGGTAGGATTAGACTTCTTAGAGATTAAAAAAAAAAAAAGCAATTTCCAGTAATTTTTCAATGAACTCCTGTGACAACTCCAACTTAAACTCCAGCACTGGAGTTGCATTAAAGCTCCAAAATGGAATCCAATATAGTCTAAACTTAAGCCATGCTTAAGAGTCGTTTAGAACTAATTATTAATTTGTGCATGAGTGAACTATTCTTATTTTATTTAGTTTCAATGTTTGTCTTATATTTAATATCTTAAATTTGATAAATTTATTATTTTAGTTCTTTTGTATCAATATTTTGCCGAAATATACCCTATCTGTAAGTATTTAGTTGGACAAATCTATATAATACCAAGTGGACATCCTTTGTTGTTGCCACTTGGACATGATTAACATTTGTGTCTTGTTATTTTCTTTTTGTTTTTGTTGACAATCAAATTATTTCTTTTTGTTTACTCCCTTATTTTTAGCTAATAGTAATGAATATATTATTTCCCTGCTATTTATACATTAGAGTTAATATATGACGTTCTTGATTTTTTTACTCAATCAACCTATCAGTTTTCTTTACAACATTTTCTCCAAAGCAAATGGTAACGCATGATTTCTTTTACTATCATATATTTCTATTTTTGTACCCTTATTGGTTGGCTTGATTATTATTTATCATTATTTCTACAATTTTGACAATTTTTCAATTTTTATGTTGTTTCATATTGCCTAATTTTAGCATATGATTCATATTAATTTATTTAGATTGTCGATTAGTAGCTCATTCATTTCATCAACTGTTATAATTTTTCTTTTCAAATCCATTGTTTTTGTAGCTTTTTATGGGTCAAAGCCATTTCTACTTAAGCACTGATTTGAGCAAGTTCTGCATTAGTTTTTCAACAAGAGTCATAGGTGGGGGTGAAAGCAAGAGTGGATTGATGTTCACACTACTAGCTAGAGATTTTAAATCTTTTCAACAAAAGTGTTCTCCTAAATTAGTTTCCTTTTTTGTATTTTTATTTTATTCTTTGACTAAATAAAGTTCCTCAATTTAGTTCCCTATTATTGTTTAAAGTTCAAATGCATCACATTTCAAGTGCCTTTACATATATTATTATTACTATGTCCTTTCAAGTATACATTCCGAAAATTTTTCTATTCTTTTTTCTTTTTTTGTGGTCTACTCCTGCCAAAACGTAAGGATGCCCATTCTCTATTATAGAAAATAAAAGAAAGCAAATACATTTTTTCCTTCTAATCAATCAATTACAAATCTATCACACTATTATCAATTTCATTGATTCTATAGGAAAGTAAAGAAAAACTATATTCTCCTTTCTTGTAATTAAATAATTGCAAATCAACTACTTATTTCTACAATCGTGCTTAGATTTGGGTTCTTTTTCCATTTGTAGAATTTTGCTTATTAAATTCTTCTCTTTACGATTTCTTTTGAATAAGTAATCAATATTAGTAGATTTCCCTACAATATCTTGTTCTCTCATATGTAACTTTACCACCACCATTACTCAAAATAAGTAAAATTAAACATCGAGATAAGATTCAGTAGAAACAAATACGTTATTGTATTATATGTTATATGAATTGATATAGTATACATTGACAGTTTATATAGTACTTCCAATTTTGTATATCTATCATTTTGAGTTCTTATTAATATCTATTAAAAAAATTTTTTTTTGTGAAGATGCAAAAATGCTTGTGCAAATGCATGGCCAAATTTGAATAGAAGAAGAAGATAGAGAGCGCATGGTACCCAAAGGTTGTATAGAAGAAGAAGATAGACTCAGCAACCTACATCACTCCATAATCTGTCACATACTTTCATTTCTTTCCACGAAATTTGCAGCTGCCACATCTATTTTATCCACCAAGTGGAGGTACATTTTCTTGTCAGTCCCCAAAATTGATCTTGATAACTCTTTGCTTTTGCATCCCCCGCAAAGAAAACAAATTCCTTATAAAAGATCACAAGTTCAAACACAATCACAACCAGAGTGGCTTGAAAAGTATATAAACTTTGTTTTTAGACTGGTTATGCTGTGGGAATCGTATTCTGTTAGTGAATTTCGTCTTCACAGCCAAAACATTTCCACAAGTTATCTTGCAAGTGTATGGATATCTTTTATGCTTTGGCGTGATATACAAGTTCTTGATATTGCAATTGGACTGGGAGAGAATGAAAATAGTGCAGTCTTGCCTAGTGAAATATTTTGGTGCAAAACGCTTGTGGTTTTGAAATTGTGTGGCGGAGCTCTTGTCAAATTTCCAAATATTTTTTGTTTGCCCAAGCTCAAAGTTTTGCATATAGAATTGTTGAAAGTAGGGGGCAGTGATACAAGTTTGAGAGACGGGCAAGGCCGTGTAGTTGATCCTGAGGATGCCTGGACTAATGCAGTGCGGCCACGTATATATAAAGTTGGATCTGTTGAAATTTCAATTCCTTCCCTAGAAAAGTTAATCTGGCGCCCGTTTTGGGGTATGGACAAGGTTGTTCTTAATACCCCCAATCTTCAGGTTCTCGAGTACGATGATTCTTATAGTAAAGTACAGTCAACATGTGGGTTCAAGTCTCTGGTCAGAGCTGATTTTTCTCCTGGAATGCCCCCTGTGCTATGCTATCACGTTTGCAGTTATTTAGTTTTATTAGTAAAATGTGCAATGTTAAGTTTCTTCGTCTATCAGGCGCTTCTTTAGAGGTAAATTTTTTTTATTTTAGTTCTAATTTCTTCGCCAAAATCCGTACATTATGATGCAAAATCTCTGTTTCTCTAGCATTTTCATGATACTTGTGTTGTTTGTGGTATAAAGGTTCTCTTTCGATCTCCTCATTCGTTGCCTGAATTTCATAATTTGAGACGTATGGAGCTTAAAGCAAGCCGTGATTACCAGTGGCAACTTTTAGAAATTCTGCTGCATTGTGCTCCCAACCTGGAAGTGCTGATTTGTGACTTGGTAAGTTAGATTTTCAACTAATTGTCACACTGTCGAATGTTCATGAATAATTGCTTTTGGCATAAAGTTCTATTTAATGCTAACTGAGAGAAAAAAGTCAATTTGATTTGGTTGCCAAATATTTGAATTTCTTGGACTGCACTGTGAAGTATATACCCAGACAGCACTGGATTATGGTGCTCAAGAGAAGCCTGTGTGTTTTGCTAAACACCTTAGGGAAATTGAGATAAGAAATTTTTCTGGGCATAAGTTGGAGTTTGAATTAGTAGGGTATCTTCTGCAGCAGGCAGCTGTGCTTGATGTTATGTCTATGTCTCCTTTAGAGCATGGAATGTCCAAGGGATGGCCACCAAAGAAGCTATTGAAGTGCTCAAAGAACTGCAATATTGTGTTTAAAGGAAAAACCAGCCTTGCAAATAAATGGATAAACCCATTCCATTGCTTTCTGCAATCTTTAATTTGCTGAAACATTCAGTTCTCTCCTATACTATAATTTGCTTTGTTATTTCAACTGTAGACAAATTATAGTTGCTTCTTGTAGCTTTATTGTTCTGTAGTTTCTGTTTAAATATTAGATATGCAAATTCATACTTGATCTCTTCCTTGGACTATATGCTTATCTATGAATCTTGAACAAGTACCCCTCTTTTGTCAATTGCTTCCGTGACATTTTTTTTTAAATATAACTCTTAGGACCATGATTTGAAACTCTGGACTTGGCAATGTGAAGAAGTCTAAAAACCCTCTGCCAACCATTAGATCAATCCTAGTGGATTATTATCACTTAAAATCTATAGCAACCAAACATTAGTCTTACTGCTTATGCAGTGTAGAATATGGCCTTTTTACATATGTTTGTGGTTTAAGTTATACCCATATCATAAAATTAAAGTGTCAAGGAGCATTCTATATATATATATTTTTTTTTGCGAATTATACTTAACCTTCCTATAGTTTAACATATTTTTACATAAGCCTCCTATAGTTTCAAAAAACCATACCCTCTTATAGCTTAGATCAAAGTGTTAAAATGATGGTCACCTCCTCCGTAACATAGCTGGTGTGAATATCAAGATAAAAATTATTGGTTAACCACAAGGGATTCTATTGAAAATCATAAGAGAATTACGTGAAAGTGCGCAACTTACAGAAGGTTAAGTGTAATACATATTATATTTACATATCTTTGTGACTTCAATTATTTTAGTTTCTAAACGAGAGTAATCTTGACATTTAAAGTAGTTCATTACAAATGAACGATTCCATCTCTTTAAATTTTTAGTTGAAACCATGAAGGGGTCATGGATAGCCATTAAAATATAAGAGAATTAATGTGTAAAGGTAGTAAACCACCTAGATAAACTGTAATTTATCCTAAATTTTTTCTAGGTAGCAACTTTACGAGCTGCCATATTGCCTTCTCTGCACATTTAAGTTCATTTTCTGCTTCATAAAGCGTGGGCAGGGTCGATTGAAGGGAACTTTGAACTATGACCTTTTAGATCATAGCTCGATCGGCATCGATATATTTTCAGGTAATGCTGTAGCTGTTACATTGAGAAGGAAAGAAGAAAAGAAACTTAATAAAAATAGTACACATGGAATTTGTATGTACAACTTGAAATAGGATTTGAACAATAAACCTATTCGACTAAGGAATAGAACTCTTACCAGAAAAGGATTAAAAATGCCGACCTGAATCTCCTTGTCTCCTGCTTCTTCATCTGTTGATCAAGTACAACATCTGGCTTGACAAAGGAAATATCGAAGATTTTAGTTATGTTGCTGGCATTTCTGATTTGTCATTTTGGTCCTGGGTCTTTAGAAATTGGTATAATGGCTAAAATTCTTTTACCTTGGACATATTGAACATTAGTTTGTTCCATAGGATTTCCAGCCATTAGAAGTTTCACTTATTAGCTGAACATTGAACCATATGATTATCTTCTTTAATGTTCTATGTTTCCTGAGTCCTAGTTGATTTTTTTCGCATATATATATTCTCAAAGTTTCAACTTTATCTCAGCATTATCATACGTATTACTATCATAATATCATTAAACTTTATATCCTTAAATATCATTAAACTTTATATCCTTAAATATCATTAAACTAACAATACATTTTTTTTTTTTTTTTTTTTTGTACCAAAAATTGTCTTGCAATAGACATATTCCATGGGGAAGAAAACCCAAGCTGCACATTACTAGAGTTACTTGGGTATAACACAGTGCAAGAATTAACTTATGTGCTAGTTAGTGCCAGAATCGGACTAGTTAGTTTCCAATCACCGCTTTCTCTTTCTTTTGGAATTCTTGTCTAAGTCAACCTCAGCAGGCTTTGATGATAAAGCTTTTGACTTGGCAGCTACAGAAGCACTCCACAAAGCCCTCTCAACATCTGATGGTGTGAATAGGTCCTCCTCGCTCGAAAGTTCCATTGCCTTGGCTTGTAACTTCTCCACAAAAACTAGATAACTCTTCAATGTATAGTCCTTCGTGTTACCAATTGCTGCTTCCATCGCCTCGTCGGACATGAATGGAGTAATATGAGGAGCATAGGCAGCGAGAATAGCGGAGGCAGTGGCGGGGCCCACGCCTTTCAAGACGGTGAGCTCCTTAACAGCTTTAGAAACGTCCGGCAACGACTCGAACGCTTTTCGCGAGGCTGATTTGACAACGTCGTCGTTCAGCGAAGAAACGAAGTCCAGCAGCCTGGGCCTCCATTTGCCCCTGCTCAGCTTCCACTGCATTAATTTTGAGAGTTCATCAGTCGTTATATATGGAGTAGGGTTCCTCTGCTTTACCAGTACCGGAAGCTCGTTCCTGTAGAAATCGTCGAGGGAAATAAGGTTTGGTTTGTTTAAGGATTCGATGCTGGACTTGTAGGACGACAGAGCCGCCTTCCATGAGCTTATGTCCGAGCATTTCAACTCCATGGCTGCCATCACTCTGCAACCTTTTTTCTTTTTTTTTTTTACGCCATTTCAATTCACAGTTTTTGACTCTAACAATACATTACTCTGTCATATTCCCTAAACTTGTATACAATTGGTAATAATTTTTGCACCTTCCATTATGTGAAGGACATAGAAACCGGCAATTGTGGTTTATATACAGTAAAATTTAAGCAAAACAAGTTTTGGCATAAGGATTTTGATACAAAAACAAGCACATGACATTTTCACCATGTATAAACTCTAATATTTTTTTACACCATACACCAAAAACTACTTCACAGAAAATGGAGTTTACTCAGGGAGAACAATCTTGTAGGTCTTTGAGCATCTTGGAAGCATTAACAATTTCCTCCATTTAGAATATAACCAATGTTCAGTGGATGCGTTATCCTCTCAAAACCTAAAACTTATTTCTTTGAGAACTGCTTCATGTTGTAAAAGATACTCGATGATATAAACTGAGTTCGACAACCAGAACAATCAACAGTTTCAACTTTATTTAGCATCTGAGCGAGACATGAACGAGGTAAAGTTCGGCTCCCTGCTGAAAACTTCGTATGCACCAAATTTTCAAATCATAGGGTATCTTCATAGATGAAGGTAAAATCATCAATAGGGTGAAATTCTATAATGTTCTCTGCTGTGACTAGAGACTCTTAAATTTTTTAGTGCGTGTTCATCAAGAGATTCAATCATCAAGTATCGAAGATTTGGGTTATCAATCATAATTTTGTGAATGTCATTATAGGATAATGTCATTCTTCTAAGGGAATTCATGGAGAGATCTAGAATTTGACCTTCTTCTGGGTAGCACTAAGACAAATTTAAATCTTCAAGTGACTCACAGCCCATAAAGAACTTTGCAACTCTTTCCCCACCTATTGAGAAATATTTGGAGTTTATAACTCGTTTTTTCTAACTTATGTAATCCCTTATTTGTAACACTTTTTGGCGCAACATGCTACTTCATTAGAAATCTTGTACTAACTTTTGATTATATTTCTAGAGCAAGTGGGTAAATATAAGCAAAAGTAATACTTGCCCTGCAGCTATAGGTGCTTGATTTTCGTACACCAGCTTGGATAGTTCGTCCTCCCCCATCAGTTGGCTTAAGTTCCATGTTGTGTTTTTAGCTAGTATGCACTTAACGGGAGCTGACTTGGTTCAAGACTTTGTTGACTCTATTTCCATGAAACTGATAGTAACACACTTCCTCAATAGTCATACTTCTTCTCTTTCTATTTTTTTGTCCCTTCTCTTCATCCTCTTTGCCCCTTGCCCCCTTCCCCACTTTCCCCCTTGCCCCCTTGCCCCCTTCCCCACTTTCCCACGCCCCTCCCCAAAAAATATGTAAAAGGGTTGTTCAATTAAAACGTAGAATATTGGAATTTCACACCAATATTTTATAGCAGCTTTGGTGCACTGGAACCAAGAAACTGACTGAGTTAACATTGTTGACTCATTGGCCTCATAGCAAGTGGAAAAGGTTAACTGAGGGCAAGAGTCCAATGAAAAGGTTAACATTGTACTCATTGGCGTTGATAATGGCCCAGCGGCGTAAACCCAAACGAAACAAGTAGTTATCTTGATGAGCAAGTGCTATGAAAGAATGGACTTGTTCTTCATCTATTGGTTTCAAATTTCTATTGTGAATAGGAAAGGAAATCTCTGTTCTGGTTTACTAGATTCTTTAAAGTTTATGAGGCTAGATAAATATGGTTAAACTGCATCTGTATTAACTTTCTAAATGTTGGTCTGTTGTAGTAATAGCACTGTAAGTACTGACTGTGTATTACACTAAGTTTTGCTGCCAAACCATTAAATGAAGATTTTAGACTTGGAAGCAAACAATTTGATTCTCATCTGTTCCAGTTTTCCTGATGCGGCCTAAGGCTGAAATTGATATTAAGGATTAGGATTCAGTCTGAATGAACTTGATTGTACATGAAAGCCACAAGGGGGAACCTGATTCTACAAACTTTTAATGCTTCTTAAGTGGTTGCCTTAAAGCATCAGTTTATAGTGAACTCATACAAAATCTTAGATTGTTCAATCAAAAAGCAATGCAAGTATACTACATGATTTGTAGTTTGCCAGTTCATCACATCCGAACTCTTCTACTTTATTTGTTGAAGTTTGTAATTTGAATTTGCAGTCTCCAAGTATTGTGGTCCTGGATGTTTGTACCATAAACTTCTTCTGTAAGATTCAGTGCCAAAACTTCTCTTTGGGTGTTTGTTATATTTTTATAAGAAAGAAAGGAAATGGGAAGCAATTTGAAAAATCTCAATCAAGTACTCAGTCACCGGAAAAACTTTGAGGCTATGTTGCATGGACTAAGGCAATGGATAAAGCCTTGGCTTAGGTCTTGCTTGACCAGATGGCTAAAGGGAATAAGAGTGATGGCAATTCTTGCAAGCCTCTAGTTTTACAAACTGCACTTGAGTAAATGAACTCTGAATTGGGTCTTGAATTGACAAAAGAAAACATAAAGAGTCACCTCAAACTGTGGAAAAGGTACCATGCGGTGGTTACAGATGCAATCAAGACACAAAGTGGATTCAAGTGGGATGAAGAATGAAAGATGATTGTTGTGACAGCAAAAGATGTAAATGAATGGAAAGTTTATGTTAAGGTACAAAACAAGCAGTCATTTATCTTGTGTTGCTGCCTAGTTTATATGATGAATTAATCCACTTATTTTCATGCAGTCTAATCCTGATGCTATGGGAATGCAAAACAAAGTAGTTGACAATTGGAAAGATATTGTTCTGTTGTGTGGGAAAGATAGTCACTTGTGAAGGTGTTGAAACCTTTGATGAGGGAGTTGAAGCAATGGCAGAAGAAGAGTAAAACAAAGCAAACAGTTTAGGAAATATCAAAGGACACTAATTACAGCCCTAGAATTCTCTGGATGTTCAGTAAAGCAAAATCCAGAGCAGAAAAAATAAATACATCACCATAATGGACCATTTCACTCCATAAGTTCAATTAAACAGAGTCTTATATTTTAACCGCCACGAGGACTTCACTTTCTTCTTCTTCCCAACTGGAAGAGCCATTTCTTTGATCTTTTGATACTAGGTAAGGCATTGTTTCTTTTATTTGTGGGTAGTAGCTAAGAGAAGCTAAATCTTTGTCTCAAATTTCTGTGAAAAGTAATTTTGCCTCTGAAAACAGAGTTTGCCAAATTCCTCCTCCGAAACATATCAAACTGTTCATCAAGGAGAGGAATGCCTCCCGTCTTTGCGAACATCTTGATGACTAACCCCTCTAACTATTATTGTTATCATTATACAAATATATCAAAAGAAGCAATTTTACTTGACACAAGGAAGCGTTCAACTTTTCCATAGAGCAGAAGATCTATCTGACATTAACTAAATGTCAGCACCAATCTGGATATAAAAAATGCGAAGTTCAAGAACAAAAGGTAATTGTCAAACTTAGAGTAGTCTCAAAGAACACAAGCCCCTTGTAGGTGTTTTAGACTACATAGATTTGCATAAATGGAACAAAGCATTGTCCACTTCGATGTTTCGGAACAGAATTGCAAAAGCACTCAGCAGTGAAGAATCGTACAGGCCACTAATGTCTGCAAATGAGCATAGGCGGCAATAATGTACCAAACAACAAACAACAATTAGGAAACCATATATGAACTGGCACTGACTAATATTTTTAGATTTGATCTTGCAAAGTATGGGTAGAGTTCAATATTTCTTTACTGAATCCAATCTCATGATCACCTAATTGCAGGAAGAAAAGAACCACAGCAATAATGTTAAAGAAGAAGTTAACGTAGCATCTACAGATATTCAGAGAACGAGTTAATGATTTTGGCATCCAGTACATTATCAACGCCCGCAAAAAGGGCAAAAGTAATTAACTCTGCTTTTAAATGGACCAAAATACCACAATACTTTATATGTCAAACCACGAAAACCCAATAGTTCAGAAGATTGCGCTCACAGGAAGGAATCTGTAGAATGAAACATTAAAGTCCAGAATCTGGAATCATACAGAAGAAAACAGCGCCAACATCTTTTGGATCCAGAAGTAGCGAATTTGATATTTTGTGTTTCTTTGAGCATCTAAAGCACAAAAGTTTCCTCCATACGCTTAATGAAGCACAACCTCACAGTTTTTGAAGCTCCTCCTCGACTTTGATAACTTCTCGTTAACGAATGATTGCCTTTTTCCCGAAATTCACCTTCATAAGCATATATAGACATCTTCTGCAACACACTCCCATGCTTCAGAAAATATCTTACTATCTGAAACTCGTATTTTCTCCCACTGAAATTTTTTATTTTAACTTCTGTAAGATGCTCATCCAAACACCAAGGTTTGTCTTTAGCACTATTCTGTAGGAGTATATTGCCGTCAATTTCCTATCCGCACTGATCAAAAGACAAAAGCGAAACCTTGACATTAGATTAAATAATTTTATCTCTACCTATTTTTAAAAGGAGAAAGGCAAAACTCATTTGGTCCACTCCGTTCAAATCACCCAAGTTCAAAGGCCAACTCACCATGTCACAGACAAGCACTTCCAATTTTCAACGCGGCATGCCAATAGTTCCAAGTGTGTCAAATTTAGAAGTTCAGGTAGCAGATGATTTGCCTCATTGAGACACTTCAAATAACATAAAGTGCAACAGTTATTCAAATGGAAGCAAAATATGTACTGTAAGCCCAAAAATCAAGAAAAGGTCACTAAACTACAGATATTCACAATTAAAAGAAATTTACCTCTATAATATAGCCCCACTAACGGAGAATCTTTACATTGGACATTTCATCAATGAGCTGGTGAAACTGATAAGCCTCAGTCAAAGAAATAAAACATAGATCAGCTCCAATAAAAGATTTCAACTTGCAAGTTGAGCCAACTAGTGGGCATGAAACATTCCAGATGCTCAAGATAATCACATTCCAGACACTCAAGATTCGGGGTGTTAAGAACAACCCGATCCCCTCCAATAGGAACATTCCAAACCAACTTTTTTAGCAAAGGAATCGAAATATCAACTAATTCAATATCAAGATGATTGACA